TTTTTATTGAGACAGAATTTCGCTCTGTTGCCAGGCTGGAGTGTAGTGATCTGATCTCAGTTCACTGCAACTTCCACCTCCCAGGTTCAAGCGATTCTACTGGTTCAGCCTCCTGAGTAGCTGGGACTACAGGCGCACACCACCACGCCCAGCTAATTTTTGTATTTTTAGTAGAGACAGGGTTTCACCATATTGGCCAGATGGTCTCGATCTCTTGACCTCGTTATCCACCTGCCTTGTCCTCCCAAAGTGCTGGGATTACAGGTGTGAGCCACTGTACCTGGCCACCTTTTTCTTTTTCTACGATTTTTCTCTTAGAGGTCTCTCCCATTTCTTTTGATTCAACCATATCCAGTACTTCTCAGGCCTATATTTTGGCTTGAAACTGTTTTATGTTTTAGTCACATATTTCTAGCTCCCTTTTGGACATTTTTCATATTAGGTGTCCTACCCCACTTAAATCCCAACCTCTTTAAAAGTGAATATTTCACTCCATTCCACCCAAAGTCAAACCTCAACCTTTTGAAGTTCTTCTCATATTTTAACTAGAGTTTAGATTCTTTGATTTATTACCTGATATACAAGTGTCTCGAGCCATGTCTTCATAAATAACTTAGTCTGCTTCTGCTTTCTGAATTCTTGCTTTCTGTTAATGACACCACTTTGTATAGGTAGCTGCATTTATGACTATAGAGTCGCCTTGGATGCCTTCTCCTTTCTCAAGCTGTGTAATCATTTACCAGGTCCAGCTGATTCCTTCTTCTTCACGTGGAGCACGTTTCCGTTTCTGTATCGCCACCTCTGTCGATCTGGCCATGCTGTGTAGCTTCCTACCTTGTCTCCTCAAACCTTATTTCTCTTTCTTTTAGCACATCCTGTTACCTGCTTAGGCTGCCAAAATGCACAATTTTGATTGTGTTTCCTTTCTTCCTTTTCTCCTTCCTTTTTTTCTTCTTTTTTCCCTCCCTCTCTCCCTCTCTTCCTTCCCCTTTTTCTCTTCTTTTCTCTCTGTCTTTTTTTTCAGAGTCTCGCTCTGTCACCCAGGCTGGAGTGCAGTGGCGCAGTGTCAGCTCACTGCAAGCGATTCTTGTACCTCAGCCACCTGAGTAGCTGGGATTACAGGTGTGCACCACCACACCTGGCTAATTTTTGTATTTTTAGTAGAGACAGGGTTTCACCGTGTTGACCAGGCTGGTCTTGAACTCCTGGCTTCAGGCAGTCCACTCACCTTGGCTTCCCAAAGTGCTGGGATTACAGGTATGAGCCATCACACTCAGCTGATTGTGCTTTCTTTCCCACTGTGGGTCCTTCTGTGATTCTGCATTGTCCAGAATGTACAGTCTAACATCCTTAACTTTGAATTCAATTCCCTTCCCTGGGCTCTGAGCTTCAGTCAGATTTGCTTACTCAGGGTATCTAACTCATTTTCCCCTTTTTACCCTGCTCTGCTTTTGTTTGCACTAGTTTATCCTCACGTGGGCATCATCCAGGAACCAAGAAAAGGTCAGCGAGCCCAGGTTGTAGTGGGTGAGGGGAGAGTGGCAGGGCTGAGGTTAGAGAGGGGCACGATTTGCATAGTCAGGCCCTTGTACATTGCCTTGCAATTTCTTCTTCCTCCCAAGAGCAACAGATAGGGCTTTAAGCAGCTACCGGAAGTAATCTAAGGGAGGGTGTTAAAAGATCACTCTGATGGCTGAGTAGAAAATAAATTGGAGGGCAAGAATGGAAGCAGGGGGACTAGTTAAAGCTGCTGACAGTGGCTCACCCCAGGTACATTGGTGCATAGACTAAAGTCCTGGCAGAGAAGATGGAGGGAAATGGACAAATAGGACATTATATTTTGGAGGCAGAACAGATGAGATTTCAATAGGATATGGAATGGGAAGGGAATGGAAGTGTCAAGGATAACTTCTGGACTTCTAGTTTTAGTAGTGGGGAGACAGCAGGCTTCTGGGGAGTGGATTTGAGCAGGATCTACTTGCAGCATCATCTCACATGTAGGACGCCCTTCAGATGTGAGCTCGTAGCATTCTCATATGTGTATGCTGCACCCTGTGACCAAATTATAAGTTCCCTGAAGGCTGAAGGCCATGCTTTAAACCATTTTCCAACAGCAATAACAGTGCCCTAGCCTTGAAAGATGGTGGATAAATATTTAAGTGACGGATAGAAACAGTTCCACACTTGTTTTGGTATCATCTATAAGTCCTAATTATTTGAAATAAGCAATGAAAGGAATTGGATAATTTTCATTTTCGTAGGTTGTACATAAGTAATGAGATTTTCCTATTTCCCTTTGCATTTGGAATTATTTAAAATGAGTAAGACGGGATTCTGTCTGTGCTGCGGCCCCAGGCCAGCTCCCCACTTCCCAGTCCCTCCTCTCTCCACAGATGTGCACTGGGAACTACACCTTTGTTCCTTACATGATCACTCCACATAACAAGGTCTACTGCTGTGACAGCAGCTTCATGAAGGGGTTGACGGAGCTCATGCAACCGAACTTCGAGCTGCTTCTTGGACCCATCTGCTTACCTCTCGTGGATCGTTTCATTCAACTTTTGAAGGTGGCACAAGCAAGTTCTAGGTAATAATTTAAATGTCTTTTGGTGATGATAATGAAGAATAACATTTTTGGTGATGATAATGAAGTGTTATTCTACTTCTTTATTTGTGCCTCTTTTCAGGTGCTCCTGGGATATCAGTATACAGCTAAGAACCAGGGAAATTTGTTTATTATCCTCCAAGTAGATAAAATAGATGCCACATAATACATTTTATTCCCAGAACAACTTGAAATCAGCAAAAAATAAAAAATGTAAAAGTCTAGTAACTGCTTTATAGTGATGGTAGATCTAAAAATATGTGCAAAGCAAGTACAGAGACATTACTGGGATAAGTGTCTGGGGACTTTTAGTGTAAGGGCAAGAACACTTTAACTCTTAATAATTAAGAGTTCCTAGTTAACTTCAATTAACTCTTAACTCTAATTGTTCTTTTAGTTAAGAACAGTTAGTTATGTTAATAAATGATGGGTTAAGTCAGAAAGTTAAGGTTATATTATGTTCAAATCATAGGTACATCACAGCTGGGTGCAGTGACTTACACCTGTAATCCCAGCATTTTGGGAGGCTGAGGCAGGCAGGTCACTTGAGATCAGTAGTTCGGATCAGCCTGGCCAACATGGTGAAACCGTGTCTCCACCAAAAATACAAAAATTAGCCAGGTGTGGTGGTGCATGCCTGTAATCCCAGCTACTCTCAGTGCTGAAGCAAGATAATCGCTTGAACCTAGGAGGTGGAGGTTGCAGTGAGCCAAGATCACGCCACTGTACTCCAGCCTGGGCGACAGAATGAGACGTTGTCTCAAAAAACAAACAAACAAATCAAAAAATCATAGGTGCATCTATTCAATTTCTACTGAAAACAGTAAAATGGAAAACAAAATTTTGGCATTTAAAGTGATATTTTGCAGGAAAATTTATTCATATGGAGTACATTTACCTTTAATTCTTTCTGATGGCAGAGTATTAAAAGACATACATTGGCTTCTAAATTTCTTAATAATGCTAGATTTGTAAGATGTTTAGGTAACTGAATAAATTGAAAGCTACAAATGCTTTATGGGTAATGCTGCAAATATCATTCATTTCTTTATAAAATGATTGCTTTTCACTGAAATCATTTCTAATGTCAAACTCTTTGAAATGTATGTGTTTTTTCCAGCCAGTATTTCCGGGAATCTATACTCAATGACATCAGGAAAGCTCGTAATTTATACACTGGTAAAGAATTGGCAGCTGAGTTGGCAAGAATTCGGCAGCGAGTAGATAATATCGAAGTCTTGACAGCAGATATTGTCATAAATCTGTTACTTTCCTACAGAGATATCCAGGTAAGAAGATGTTCAAAGTGAAATCTATGTCATGTAGCATGTTGGAGGGATAAGGGAGTATTAACCTCAAATTTCAGTTAGCTGGTAAGCAGTTCATGTTACTACACGTAATTTTTTATTGGCTCTCTTAAGCTTTCCATCCTATAATTTTATGATGAATGAAAAAGACTCATGTGAGTTAACCATCAGTGATTGTGAAAGACTTGTATGGTAAAGGTCTGACTTTTTCCTCCAAAATAACAAAAAGAAAAATCTGCTGGCACAGCGAACCTGCGGACACAGTCCTGTTAGCTTAGCCACACCTGTCAGTGAAAGCTTTGTTTTGGCAAGTAGCAGACAAATTTTAGAGCTTTCTGGACATACCTTTTATCCCTTGAAATTGTATTGCTTGAAACTGATAGTGCTGACTCTAGCCTGAAGGAAAAAATATGTAATTGATTACTTATAGAAATAACTTTAAAAATGTGTAAGATAAAACACACTAACAGGTTCTATCATTTTTTGCCATGTCTTAAAATTTTAAAAATAGGGTAAGTGGAATAAAATCCTCTCCAAGTTAGAGATTTGCTGTTAGGTTTTAATACTAAAATGTAAGTGACATCTGGTTTCTGCTTTCCATTCCTAGCTTCAGGTCTGTGTCAAGGCTTCATGTGGTCGAGACAGACTCACATCCATGGAGGGTTGTGGCACACAGGATCCTGTGGCTAGAATGCTTACTCATGTGACATGAAACTGTGTTGTTACTTATAACAGAAGTTCAGCCAGTTGCCTCATGTCCTTGAAATTTTTTATTTTCCCTGAAATGTTAGGACACTGCATACCAGGAACCTGGCTCTGTGGAGAAATAAACCACCCATATTTAGACATAGAGCATTATCAGGCTTGGTGTTTTTGTTTCTTTTGCTTTTTTAGTTTTTGTCCAACATGGTAACTCTATATTTCTAATGTTTTTATATATATGATCTAAACCTCTTAGAAGAAAAGCAACAAAAACTATTTATTCTAGGTTTTCAAAGTGTTCTGTGGATTCTAATGTATTTTTAATGTGTTTCTTGAATTCAGATATCTGGTTGTCAAAAGACATGTTATTGTCAGAATTTTCTCCTAGTGGTTTAATTCTGTGCTATTCCCATCTCGTTTGAAAGGACTATGATTCTATTGTGAAGCTGGTAGAGACTTTAGAAAAACTGCCAACCTTTGATTTGGCCTCCCATCACCATGTGAAGTTTCATTATGCATTTGCACTGAATAGGTAAGAAGAAAAATTTCCCTTTCAGAATGTGATAACATATTATTGTGTAACCTGCAGTTCTTTACAGGGCACCTGTTTACTGCAGCATTACAAGAAGTCCCTATTAAAATGTAATATTAGCATATCTACTTCAAACCCGTGAAATATAGGAAGCATGCCTTCTCATTTTTTTCTGATTTATTTTTCAGTAAAAAAGTCTCAGCCGGGCGTGGTGGCTCACGCCTGTAATCTCAGCACTTTGGGATGCCGAGGCGGGTGGATCACTTGAGGTCAGGAGTTTGAGACCAGCCTGGCCAACCAGCCTGGTGAAATCCTGTCTCTACTAAACATACCAAAATTAGCTGGGGTTGGTGGAATGCTCTTGTAATCCCAGCTCTCAAGAGGCTGAGACAGAACTGCTTGAACCAGGGAGGCGGAGATTGCAGTGAGCTGAGGTTGCACCACTGCACTCCATCCTGGGGAGCAGAGTGAGACTCTGTCTCAAAAAAAAAAAAAAGTCTCACACTGTTGGCATATTTAAATTCACAATTTTTCTCCTCTGTCAAAGTTTGTATTTGCCATTCATATTTTTTTAGAATTTTAAAAGTTACGTGAATATGATGTTATCTTTAAGCAAATATACTCAACACCAAATGGTCATTCACACAAAAATTTCCACTAGAGTAAGGATGATTATGTCTAGGTGAACATAGTGTTAGGTATTTAGTACAAAAGGAATTTCATGGACAGAAGATTTGAAGTAGTAGTTGAGAATAGAAATGATACCTTTTTATAACAGTTTTATTGAAATATATTTCACATACCATACAACTTACCCATTTAAAGTGTACAACTTAGTAGTTTTTAATATAGTAACAGAGTTATGTGACCATTAAAAAACAATAAATTTTAAAACATTTTCATCACTCCAAAAGGAAACCCTGTACCCATTAGCAGCCACCCTTCCATTTCCCTCCCAAATTCTCTAACTCAAGGCAACTACTAATCTACTTTCAGTCTTTATAGATTTGCCTGTTCTGGACATTTCATATAAATGGAGCCATACAGTATGTGGTCCCTTGTGACTGGCCTCTTTCACTTAGCTTAATGTTTCAAGGTCCAAGAAATGATAACTCTTATAGAATTTTTATCTGGTTTTGTGAATTGTCTACACATACTATTTTAAAACATGATACATAAAGCAAATTCCTTATATAATCAGTTAGTCACATATAAAAATCAAGCAGTTCTTGGGTTTGATTTGTTTTTTGATATCATCTGTGAAGACTTCAACTCTTATCTCATTTCACCAACTTGAACCTGCATATAGGCTACAGGGAGATTGGAAGGCTTGTGGATGAGTAAGTACAAATCCATCACCATTATCAACACAGAATCTCCTTGTTAGACCCAGTAGACGTACAATGGGATTTAAAAAAATTAGGCTTAGGACAGAGGTTTACAGAGGACTCTCAAAATCGAATTGTTTATATCCTGCCAAATTTCTCTAATATGAATCAGCATACTAAATAGAACTTTTTAAAAATAATTGATCTATGTTGCTTCTGAAATGTGCATTGAAACAACAATGTTTTCTATCTTAGACGAAATCTCCCTGGAGATAGAGCAAAAGCTCTTGATATTATGATTCCCATGGTGCAAAGTGAAGGACAAGTTGCTTCAGATATGTATTGCCTAGTTGGTCGAATCTACAAAGATATGTTTTTGGACTCCAATTTCACAGACACTGAAAGCAGAGACCATGGGGCTTCTTGGTATGTATAGCATATAAATAAGCTACTTAATTGGTAAATCCATGGCATAAAAAAGTATTTACAAATGAGAGTGTTAAAGTATTATTATCATCCATAAGATTGTGTATTCTGAACTAAATCTTGGACTTTATTTTATTTTATTTTTTTGAGATGGAGTCTTGCTCTGTTGCCCAGGCTGGAGTGCAATGGTGTGATCTTGGCTCACGGTAACTTCTGCCTCCCAGGTTCAAGCGATTCTCCTGCCTTAGCATCTTGCGTAGCTGGGATTACAGGCGCCTGCCACCACACCCTGGCTAATTTTTGTATTTTTAGTAGAGACAAGGTTTCTCCCTGTTGGCCAGGCTGGTCTTGAACTCCTGACCTCAGATGATCCACCTGCCTCTGCCTTTTAAAGTGCTGGGATTACAGGTGTGAGCCACTGTGCCTGGCCAATCTTAGATTTTATAGCTTTAGTAAATAATTTGATGAAATTCATTTAACATGGTATAGTAAATTGGTATAAATTAGATGAAAAGATAATTTAAGAAATACAGTTTTAAAAGATATTTTAAATAAGTAATATAAATAATAAAATATAATTTTGTAGAAAAATTTATATAAAGACATTTTAAAAGACCTGAATGAAAGGAAAAATATACTAAGTTTGTAGATGAACAGGCTTGGTATTTTAAAGACTTTATTTCCCCCCAGCAGGGGTTTTCATTTGATTCGACAAACCAATTCCAAAATTTATTTGAAAGAATAAAGGACTGAGAATATGCAAAGCAATTCTGAAAAAGGACAAGAGGGAAGGACTTGCTCTACCAGTCAACAAGACTCATTTTAAAGCTGGAATGATTAAGATATTGCAGTATGTCTATAGACATAGACATAGCATTGGGATAGAAGAGACAGCCTGGAACGGACTGAGATATACATGAGACTAGATTTACAACAGAATCAGCTTCATGAGCTGTAAAGGAAAGGATGGACTCGGTAGTAATGGTACTGAGAAAATTTCTTTATCTGCTTAGAAAAACAAAATTATATCCCCGTTTTAAGCCATGCATACACAACAAAATGAAATCTAAATGAATTAAAGACCAAAATGTGAAATATACTTTAGAAAAAAACTTTTAGAATAAAATGTACAAATTATGTATGACTTTGGGATAAGCAAAGATTTCTTTCTTTTTTTCTTTTTTTTTTCTTTTTCCTTTTTTTTTTTTTTTTTTTTTTTTT